TTTTTTTTTTTTTTTCTCTGATTTTTTAACATATCTGTTTTCGTTTAGCTACTGGAGTGGTCTTTCGACTGGACTTACATGGTCAGAGGACTCGTTCTGGACAAAAAGAGGGGCAACATACTGAAGGTTTTTATTGCTCGGTTATGAGCATAAGTAGTTTTCTTATTAATAGTAGGCTATTCTTCTGCAAATTATCCTTTGCCAGTTGCATTCTGCTATCGTTGACTTGGACATTTTCTCACGTACTCACAGATGGATCGGCATAAATATGTTAAGGTGGCTTATCATGGATTCACAGAGCTGTCGAAGGAAGAAAAGGTTGCTGCATATGGAAGCAGATTGATCCGTGAAGCATTTGATGAGCCTGAATATGCTCTGATTGATACTCTCTTCTCTTTGGCTGAAGCATACTTGTTTGCACAACTTGTTGACTTTAAAGATAAGAATCCTGGAAAAATCCAAGCAGAGTAAGACAGTTTCCACAGTAAATTCCTGGAAAGAATTATAATAGTACACTTCGGGGTTCAGCCTTATTATAGGAGACCCAAGTCATTTTTCACAAGTACAAATATCCTCCAACTTATGCTTATATGTTTATAAAGTTGAACCTATTGGGAGAGAGGGCCGTAGTATAACAAACACCAACTTTGAGGGGTTATTTGTTATTTTGAAAGACTGTTGATGTCGGTTTTGTAATCAGACTAAACATCAGTGGTAGTTTTTGTATATTTATCCTTGTTGGTCAAAGTGATAATGGTCTGGGGAACAATTATCAATTGAGTACCGGTATCTGTGGTTTCATTTGGTTTGAGCAGTGTTTGCTTAACTATGTTTCATGATACTGTTCAATTTCTGCGACCTCCGAGTCTTTATTTTGTGAATGTGTTTATGCTAATGGCACATTATTTGGTTACAATGACCATATGGAGATCTCAACTTGACGGTGAATGTAGACTTGTTTGGTAATATCAGCCTTTTACCATTATTTTCCGGTGCCGTCATATTTTAAAAGGTGTTGCATTGTTTGATAATGTTATATAGCATCATTTCTCTACATTTGGGAAAGATTAATTGCTAATCTTTTAAGAGCAATGTGGAAAACTCATCTCATTCGGGTTCTTCTTGGAGGCGAAGGTCCGAAGCAAAGGGCAGGCTTTTCTGATTTGAATAATCACTTGTACATATAAAAGCAAAAGAAAGATAAAGCAGTAGTTGACTGCAGTTGTTTGCTGAGAAAACTATTCTATTTAAGCCTGCCATTATAGCAATACCACTTTTGAGTTTCTTAGGGAAAGCTATTCAATTTAAAGAGTATCCGTTCTCTTCTCCTCTCTCTCTCTCCCAGTTTAGTAGAAAATCTGAATTGATCTTGTTAAACAATGGTTCCTTGATTTCCAGAAGGTTAAAAGATATTATATCGCTCATCCTTTTGGCAGTTTGCATAATTTAAAATGTAAATAGAAGGGTCAATTGAGCATAATAATCCAAGCAGTCATATAAAAGAAACGAGCTAATGAAAATCGGAGTTGTTAGCTTCACTGAATTTGATTGAATATTGATTGAGTTAAGAACTATGTTGATGTCATCTTACCCTTGCGCAAAATGATGTCACAGCTACTCTCGCATGTACAAAGATGTTCGAGCTGCAGTTGATTTGTGTCATCGCGATGGGACATTAAAGAAGATGGTCGCAAAGGATCCTAAAAGGTAATTTAAATTTATATAAATTCTTTTCATAATGTTAAGTTTAACATGGGGCGGTCGACAATTTGCGATGGGTCATCAGTCGGTAAGTCAAGTAAATGTTTATCTTCAATTTTAAATTGAGTCTTTTACCCATCATTAAATGATGGCCGGTCGACAATTTGCGACAGATCATCAGTTAGTAAGTCTAGTGAAGGTTAATCTTCAATTTTAAATTGTGTCGTTTATCCCTCATTAAATGATCCCATACAGTCATCCTACTATAAACCGTTACTTTTACCATCGTTAGTTTCTGCGGTTTCAACTACCGACAGATTGTCTCGCCGCGACCATTTTGCATGTACTTTCTTTCTATTATTTATGTATAACTTAATTTATTTTAATGTACATAGGGTTAATGCTTGTTTGATCTTGTATAAAGTTGTAGGTTCTCATAATTTACATATGGTTATGTTTCATTATTATCTGTGGTGGTAGACAGACTATTAATACCTCTACGAATCATAAATCACTTGCAGTTGTTGTCTACTACTTTCAACTTATATTGATGACAAACTTAGAATTTTGTGATCATGAATCTTGACTTGCAAACGCTTGTTTCATCAGGTATATAAATGAGGACTCCTCAATTGTGCCTATGCTGAAGATGCTTAGGGATTCTGGCCGTGCCACATTTCTGGTGACCAACAGGTTTTTATTTTTATATTTTTACCATAAGCCTAGTCTATTTTCATGTTCCAAAAATCACAGAATCTTTTCTCTGCTTCACGATAGTAGTGTGTTGATTAGCATGTGTGCTGTAAGATTACATTTTATTGGTCTAACTAAATCTTTTTTTTTTTTTTTTTTTTTTTTTTTTTTTTTTTTTTTTCATGTGAAGCCTATGGGATTATACCAATATTGTAATGAACTTCCTTTGTGGACCAAGAGCAGGTGATGAGGGCTCGGTCGACTCTTCTTTGAGTTTTGATTGGCTTCGATATTTTGATGTCATTATTACTGGAAGGTAATGAGGTTTCTTGATACTTGGAAGTCTTTTGTCGAAATTAATTAACAAATATGCTGACTCCATTTAGTTTATCGCGGAGATACCTTTAGAAGGAAGAAGTAGAAACATGAGCTTATACCAACTTTAAAGAAAATCACTAGATTTGTGAAATATCTTTGCATCGATATTTGACGTCCTTTTTTTTAATAATTTGATCGCATCCTTTGGCTCTCATAATTTTGTTGTGGTATTAATTTTATATAATAAATTCTCGCATATATATATATATATATATATATATATGTGTGTGTGTGTGTGTGTGTGTGTGTGGGTGTGGGTGTGTGCGTGCGTGTGTGTGTGTTTGTGGAAGGATTTAGTCTTATTGTATACCCTTCAAACAGTTGGACCTAACTCATTGGTGACTGATGAATGAGCAAATTTTTCTCTTGCCTGCCTATTGGACAATATGTCCATAACAAGTTATTCTCTTTTCAACAGTGCAAAACCAGGTTTTTTCCATGATGAAAACCGTGCTAATCTTTTTCAAGTTGAACCTGAGTCAGGAATGCTTCTTAATACAGATAATGGAACTCCTATGCCTCAGGTCTGTTTTACATTTTCTCGTCTTTCAAATGAGATATAATAAATGTTCCTTAAGATATCTAGTTCGCCATTGATTTAACCAGGTAGATGCTTCTCTAAGGTTGCCTTTGAAGAGCTTAGATAAAAGTTCCCAAGTTTTCCAGGTGTGCATATATTCCTACAGCTAACTTCAGTTGCATATATTCCTACAACTAACTTCAGTTATGTTGTTGAGTGAATAAAGAGAAGTCATGTGGTATTTAAGCCAATTGTCCTCTAATTGTTGATTATGTGGTCAATTTCGACCGCCGTCTTCATATCATATTCTGAATTTTTATTTCCAGGGAGGAAATGTTGGGCATCTGCATAAGTTACTCTCTATAGAGTCAAGCTCCCAGGTACCCTGCCGTGAATACCCTTTCCTTTTCCCATTTTTTGGGTTTATTTGTTTTGTTGGTCAAATTTATCTATGATAGTGTATTTCAGTCAGTAAAAATGCTGTTTGAGATACTGATTGAGTGGCATGTACAACATTTGAAATGTTGGGCAAAGTGCAAATTACCTTAGCGTAAAAGATTTAGTTATGTAGACACTAGCCTTTACAAAATGTGAATGATATACTGAGTTGTGATTACTCTCTCTTCTGCTATGAAGTGGCGTAAATACATTATGGAAGCCATACAATACACCATCACACCTCTATTTATTATTTGTCATTTTTAATGTTTTGCCGAGGTGTAAAGATTCAAATAAAAGTTGAAGTGATTCTTTCTTAACATTCCCAATCACACCCTGGACCAATTACCTACTGAAATTTGAAATAGATGAGCAATTTAAATTATAAAAATAATCTGTTTTGTGAAGACTGAATGTGTTATTAACTTTGAACGCTCTCAAGGAACTTCGCACGAAGTAACATTTTCCTGAAATATATATAGTGGTAAAGACATTATTTTTTTTTTTGGTGCTGTCACCTTGGGTTTATTAACAGATTGGAGCTTTGCTTACACTTGATGTCTGATCTTCAGGTACTTTACGTTGGAGATCACATATATGGAGATATCTTGCGTAGTAAAAAAGTTCTAGGTATGTCTTCAGTTATTTTCATTTTTGTGTTTATTTAGTTTTGTCTTTAACCATATCAACTGCGTTTTCTTATTTACACTTGAATTGCACATGGTTCTTTTGGGATTTTGCTTTAATCTTATATCCTTGTGATTCATATTTTGTTTATTGCTGCAAATTGCTAATTATTAGATCCTGAATTCTATGATTGCTTGTTATGTGTAGAACTAAATTGGAAATCGATTTTTGGTATAATTGGTACTTGCTCAGTTGTTTCGCTAAATAGATCACTGTCGTTTCTTCCATAATTGTCACATTATTATCATGATAACCATTAAGTTCTTAATTTTGTATTTATTTCTGCAGACTGATTTGAGGTCATGCCACTTTTTATAGGTTGGAGAACAATGCTCGTTGTTCCTGAGCTTGAGAAAGAAGTCAAACTTCTATGGACATTGAGGGATTCCCGCAAGGTATAAGCAGTATTCTAGTTGTTACAAAATCTTATATCTTGCAATAATTTGTCAAGAGGATGCGCAAATGCTATGCCATTCAAAAAAGCGTGTTTTTTTTTTTTTTTTTCTAACCTCATTTCAATGTCGTTACTTTATCTCATTTATATCTAATGTTGAGTTTGCTGTTAAATACCTGTAGCGACTTCAGTTATTGAGGAACGAGCGTGACAATATTGAAGACCAGATACATCACCTGAAGTGGTCTCTCAGGTAACACGGCACCTTACTCTTTTACGTGTGAAAAATTTACCATTAGTTTTGTGGAGCTTTCATTTTTATTTTATTTTACTTTTTTTTTTAGAAAACAAGTATTATGAGACACCCATTTTATGCTGACCAATGTTGATCAGGTTTGATGGTGTAAATTTTGTGAACAAGGAAGAGATAGCTGCTGAGCTTGACAAATGCCAGGTTAGTGTATTTCACAGTGAGAACCTATCTGCCAAACTATTAACTTGACGTACCATAAGAAACAAAATAATTTACTTTTATCAACTGTCGAAGGCTGGCTGATGATATTTCAGATTTTTCTAGTCTTGAAAAGTAATATTGTCATAAAACTTTTAAAAAAAAAAAAGAATAAAAATTAAAAGAAACGAAACCATGATCTTGTGTAATACTTGCTCTCTTGTCAGTCTCAGCTGGAGTTGGTGCGGCTGAGTCATCAAGAAGCTCAGCGAGAATGCCACCAGAAGGTAAGAACTAAGAAGTGATCATCGTTTATTAGTTATCCGACTTATTCACGGTATTTCATTTGATAATAATCGTAGCTATTGTCATTAAAATTTTTTTTTAAAAAAAAAAACAGTTCCACAAGGTATGGGGACAGCTGATGAAGACTGGTTACCAGAACTCACGCTTCGCACATCAGGTCAGAAAATCATGTTGGTTTTCTCTCTCCCTCTCTCTCTCTCTCTCTCTCTCTCTCTCTCTCTCTCTTAAAATTGGCTTCTTTTTCGATTATTTTTCAAGCATTGTTTTGTTTTTCATACTATATATCAGGTGGAAAGATTTGCTTGCCTCTATACCAGCCAAGTATCCAATTTGAGCCTCTATTCACCTGATAAGTACTACCGACCGGGTGAAGATTTCATGCCTCATGAGTTTGATATCATATCTTTATGAACACATCATCTCATCTCTCATCTCATCTCTATAGTGTGGCGAGTTGAGGTATAGGATGTACTTAGCTCGGTTTTTCTTTCAATTTACATGTGATGAAAGTTGTTCGAAAGTGGCCGTTGTAGAATAATCTTCCGGCGAAATTGTAAATTGTCACAATTGCAAATAATAAATGCAGTTGGTTTGGGGGGCTTATGATGGTTCTGAGTTCAGGAAAGTACAGAGAAGATTTTCTCGATTTTTTTAACGTATACACAATAAATACTCGAAAATAACCAACGGGAGTAAATCATTACTAATGAGCAAACTTTTATATATATGAATAAAAAATTCTATGGAGTCATAAGATGATTTTCTTATAGAGGCATCATATTTATTGTAGGACACGTGTCAGTACACTATTTGTGGAGGGAAAAATTCAAAACTAGTCCTACAGTTATAGAGGGTGATAATTTTGGTCCCAACGGAATTCAGAAAATATGAATAGTTCCACAACTTTTAAAAAATGATCAAAAGTAGAACTTTTTTTGTCAGATTTACTATTTTTGGCCGGAACGCCACGTTGCGTATATGTGGCTTTGCTTTTTACACGCTGGCTTATTTTTTACATACTGGCACCCGACGTGTTCATATTTTTTTTACAAGCTGTGGGACTATTTCATATTTTATGCATTCCGTCGGGACAAAAAATGTCACCCCCCAATACCTGTGGGACTAGTTTTGAATTTTTCCCTATCTACGTCGGATGCCAGCGTGTAAAAAAATAAGCCGCATGTGCGCGACGTGGCGTTCCTGGCCGGAAATAGTAAATCCGGCAAAAAAAGTCCTACTTTTAATCATTTTTAAATGTTGTGGGACTATTCATATTTTCTGCATTCCGTTGGGACCAAAATTGTCACCCCTTTATATACCTATGGAACTAGTTTTGAATTTTTCCCATTTGTGGATGACTCCATAAGTCGAGTCATCTGATGACTCCATAGCAAAACTGATATATAAATATGCATATTTGTTTCTTTAATTCTTGTTTCTATAAGTAGTTATACTGTTTGAACTGGTTGGAAATAAGCAAGATAAACACATTTGGCAGCAATAGATCTTTAATTTCTTTCTGCAGATTTGACTCAGGAAATTAACATCAAGCTCTGTAATGAATGAAACTGTGACAGTTACATATTAATGCATCATAATCTTGCAGATATATAATATGAAAATCAAGGTTCAAATCAGGGACAACTAATGGAAAACGATGTTCGACAAGGAAGGATTTATTCCACCATCCGAGTCGAACATTGTATTAAACGCGAAACCATGTACCATATTCCATAAAAGCTCCATTTCTTTAGTAAATTCCATATGGTACGTGTTAGAAAAAATCGAACAAGATCTGCTAATACAAACCTCCCGGTAGACCTATTCCTTTCGGTATTTATTGACAGTTGCCATATGTGCAGTCCAAATTTGAAAAAAAAAGGCGGTATTTTGGTTAAATCATCGCGAAACTATATTTTTGCGCTCCAAAATAGAAGTTAATATGTGGCTCTCTTCATATTTTTTCTTTTATATATTATCAATGATGAAATAAGTACGACCAAACACGCTAAAAAACATCACTTTAATAAGTATTAGACTAGTCGATTTGGATTTTTTCGTTAGTTGTTGTCTTTAGTAGCATGCTATGTTTTCGTGATGCACGACAAATATGCGTACGCGGTCAAAACAACATGAATTAGCTTCGGTAATATCTCTATGAACAACTTTTTTCCTTTTCGCGTCATTTATCACGATGCGCCACACAAGCTAGGCATATCGAGCAAAACGATAACCAAAAAAAGCTAATCGCTTCATGTGATTTTCTTGCATTTTTCCGGCTCGCGATTCCTTGAAAACACGAAGCGTTTTTGCAGCTTTTTTTCGTGCATTCACCGCGTGATCCCACACTATAAGCACACTCGCATGAATTCAGTTAAAATACTGATACTTTTACAGCTAAAAAAGATAATCTGTACGAGGAATCTAAGGGGAAAGTGGTGCAAGAGTCAAGTACTATGTCACGTTTAAATTGGCCCTCTCTGCAGACAAAAATAAGTGAGAGAAATATCCTCACAAAAAATAAGTTGCTTTTTTTTTTTTTAAAAAAAAAATAAAAATTATTTATATATTTTTTTAATTGTAAAACAAATTTGTTAAGTAATAATAACAAAAAATAGGGAAAAAAATCAAAACTAGTACCACAGGTATAGGAGGTGACAATTTTGGTCCTAATAGAATGCAAAAAAAAATAAATAGTCTCACAACTTTTAAAAATGATAAAAAGTATGACTTTTTGCCAGATTTTACTGTTTCCTGCCCGGAATGCCACGTGGCGCACACGTGGCATATTTTGTTGCATATTTTATGCATACTTGTAGAACCAAAAATGTCACCTTCATATACCTGTGGGACAAAAAATGTCACCTTCCTATACCTGTGGGACTAGTATTGATTTTTTTCATATCCACGTCGGATGCCAGCTTGTAAAAAATATATGCCACGTGGCATTCCGGGCCGAAAACAGTAAAATCCGGCAAAAAATTCTACTTTTGATCGTTTTTTAAAGTTGTGGGACTATTTATATTTTTTGCATTTCGTTGGGATAAAAAATGTCACCCCCTCATAACTGTGGGACTAGTTTTTAATTTTTCCCACAAAAAATGGGTTAAACTAGGGATGAAGGAAAAAAGAAGGAAAAATTTAGGCTGTTCACAAGCTGTGTTTTTATTTTATCTAACCAGCTGGTAATTAATTACTAATTACTGGATCTAATCTTATCTACACAAGTAATTAATTTCCTCACAAATCCCACAAATTAAGTTCAATAACTAGGAAAAAAGTTCAAAGAAAAATACTAAAAATTGAATACACCCCACAAAAATAAAATAAAAGTAAAAAAGAATACAAAAAAAAAACATTTTTTTTTCCCACCCTAACAAACCCTCATGGCTATAAATAGACAACCCTTTCAAGTCACATTGTCACATTTTACACCAATTTAGATTTTGAGATAAAATACACACACAAATATTTGTATAAGAGTAATATTTACTATAAATGGGGTCAAACTCGACTTGGACCGCCATGGAAAACAAGGTGTTCGAAAATTCCCTGGCAGTTTACGACCAAGACACTCCCGACAGGTGGCAGAATATAGCCCGGGCTATCGGGACAAAGACTGTTGACGAGGTCAAATGTCATTACCAGAAGCTCGTCGAGGACATCGAAGATATCGAGTCCGGCAAAGTGCCATTGCCCGACTATAGACCGTATCACGAAAATGGCAAGTGCATAGGTGAGAAACAAATTAATTAGGTCGAATAAAAATAAACTTAATTAGTAGCAAAGAATATATAAATTAATTACCATATGGGGTTCGTCGTTTTTCTATTTTTGTATGTACGTATGCACGTACCTACATGATTTATTATAATTTTTTTATTTTTTGGGTAAATTAAAAAAGCTGGATTATTAATGTTGGAAATATTTTTTATTTATTTATTTATTTTTTGGCAGGGTGAAGTATTTGAAGCTCTAGTGAAGGAAGTTTAAAGAATTAATGGCCGCTTTGTATATGTTATTATTCAAATTTAAGATGAAAAATATGGTCGTGCGATAGAGAAATTTATGTAATAAGCTTGTGTAACAACAAGATTATTGTATCATTATGCTTTAATTTCCCATTTTATTTTAAATCTTTTCTTAATGAAGCTTACAAGTTAATTTAAAAGTTCATACATTATAATTAGTCCTGCAATATAATTGAATTTCGTAGTACATATATTTAATTTGTGCGAACCATTAGTTGAAGAAAATGCTTGAGACACATTAACATATAACATAACAGAAGATATTTTGGTGGGAGAAAATATTAACACTACAGGAAAATTATGATTTTATTTAATTTCATGTATTAGATATTCTAAGAGAACGTTTTAAAAATATTTCATTAGATTTTAATTTAACGATAGATATTAAGTTTTTAAACGGTTGATTGGAAAATGATATATGGAGAAATATTTCAATGAAATTCTATAAAAAAAATTCTATAAAAACCGATGTGAAGGAAGAATAAACTTGGAAATGTTAAATTTTAAATAACAAAATCGAATTTTAATTATAAAAATTTTAGTCTTTTTAATGAAACTAGTTGAAACATAAGTCCAATCCAAATATCCCAGGCTTCTTTCCATACTGCTTCTATCATCTATATTGAGCACAATTTGGATAGGAAGTAATACATTTCCAATTCCAAATGTAAACCGAATTTCTGCTAGTAGTAATACATTTCCAATGTAAATCTCAAATTTCAGGATATATAATAAAGATGAATTTAAAGTGGTTGAGTATTCAATATTTTTTTGATAATAATAATATATAGTTATTTATATTTAAAAAAAACTATAAATACTGATTAATAAGTAATATTTGGGGAATACAAATACATTAGATAACAAGCTAATTTTGATAATTAAAGATGATAAAATGATACGAACACTAAATTAAGTGGCACTTGTATTTTGATTCAAAAAATTTATAGGCCTTTGATGTCTTTGATGATCATATATTACAAAATGCATAATTCATCATGTATTAAGAAATATTTACAATGTCTTCCATGATATGTTAAAAAAAATGTATAATTCATAATATATGATTAATAATTCTTGCACGTCACATCAACTCGAATTCACTATTCTATCTCTTCCCATAATTTTAACTAACCATCACTTCACATCATCTTTCTCTTACGTTTACATCAAATCAATTTCAATTAATTTATTTTAAATATTATTTTAATCTAATCTCAAAATTTCACTAACAACTAATCATACCATTTTTTTTAAATTAATACTGATTAACTAAAAAAAATTCATTTGATCGAATATATTTGTATACAATCATTCCTTCAACAATGCCACAATCAACAGTTGTTGCACATTTTTACACTATTATATTGTATAACATTATGTCTTTAAATTTGCGTTTTAAAACATTGGACTAATGTCACATCAGTTATGATATTGCTATCCAAATTTTTGTATTTTTGTCCTTTTCTAGTTTGTACCTTCAAATTATTTTTAAATATTTAACCACCAATCTTGTCTTATATTCACTCTATATTTTAATTAATATATATATATATATATATATATATATATATATATTTATATAAATTATTCATAGTTGGATTGGTGAATCTTTTGGAATATATTTGAAGGATAGAAAAAATAGTGTCAGTAGTTTGATGGTAAAGGCTATTATCAAACGCGCAAAATATAAAGTTATTTTTTTAATTCTATTTTGTCAAATTTTAGTTATTTAATAGATTCTCTACATATATAAAAATAATAACATAAGTCAATGAAAATAATTTCACAACAAATCTCAACGGAAACTCAAACAAGTAAAATATATAACGCTCGCATGTTAAAATAATAAAAAATAATAATAAATAAATAAATAAATTAGAGGAAATCTAAAGGAGATGAACGAAATTAAAATATTCCATTTGAATTACTATAACAATGTTCCTTAATTTTCTTGTTAGAAAGCTTGGTCAATTCTAGAAAACTTGGTCAATTAATTGACCAAATGTGTAAAATGATTTTGACTAATTTATATTTAAGTCAAAAATGATGATCTTTCAATTTTCTTGTTAGAAAGCTTGGTGAAAGTTTGATCAATCAATTGACCAAATGTGCAAAATGATTTTGACTAAATTATATTTAAGTCAAAATGATGATAAAATTAATTGGTTTGTTTCCCCTATCTAAGATGGTGATGAATATGGCTGATTTTCCCACATGATCATATTATATGTTCAATATATATAAGTGTAAGAATCGAGGAAGATGGTGTGGTCTCACGCAAGCGAAACACATCATAAGAAAGCGAATTTAGGTGCATCGTAGTGAGTTTCCATTTTAAAATCAATTGGTGATGAGATGAGTAACATTAGGCTTATAAACTAGACGCATTTCCGATATAGAATCAATGTGAGAAACTCACAAGTGATATTCCGACAATAAGTAGCGTTATGCTCATATTATTATGCTATAGTATTTTTTAATAGATGCCGATATTTTCACAAGAACTGCTAAGTCATTACAAATCTAGTACATATATAAGAATCACTACAAGAAAATAATGAAATTTTATTAAAAAGTTCCAATGGAAATATTTTCTAATGTAATTCCAATGGATATTCAAAATTTATTATTCCATTCGAATTTTTCAATGAATTCCAACAAAAATATTCTGTTGCGGTCATGAGTTTTCCATTGGAGTTTCATTGGAATTTGACGATTCATACAACATATTTTCAAAGAGTTGAAATTGTTAAGGCTGCTCCTGTGATTCATGCACACGTCAGCAGTCAAAGGAATGAGCTCGACCAACGTGGCAGCCACGAGAGCAATGCCTGCCACCTCAAGAAAGATGCTTCCATGCATAAAGACAAAAATGGGAGAGCAAGCTGTCACCTAACTACAAGACAAACCACAAACCCTAGGTTTAATGATAGCCATGATCAATGGCTTACAAGCCTACACGTGTCCTCTCCTCCTATAGGAGCTTGTGCATAGCCGCCGCATGAGGATAGCATGAGTTGATATATGACTGTTTATAGCGAGTGAGACAATAGCATGTTTTAGAATAATACACATTCTGTAGAAGAAGAAAGATGGGATGATTTCTTAGCCAAAATGAAACTACTTTATTATGGATCATTTATTGATGTACTTTACATTTATTGCTTGATTTCCGTTTCTATTATGGCATCAGAGCCAGATCTCTGACCTGCCCTCAGATTTTTCCACTTTCTTTGCATTTCTTCCCTTTTCATTAATATGGCTTTACCAACACCACAAATAGACCCTATCATACAGCTGCAAAATCAGCTTGTCACCACCAAGCTCACTGAAAACAACTTCCTTGTTTGGGAACAACAAATTCTGACCACCATCCGAGGATATGACCTTCTTGGCTTCCTTACTGGAGAAACAAGAGCACCAGACAAACTTGCTTCAGATTCAAACACTGGAGAAGCAATAGTGAACAAGGCCTACCTTCACTGGGTGAGACAAGACCAGCTGGTTCTTCATGGCTTCTTTCATCCCTCTCAGAAAATGTTCTAGTCACCACTGTTGGTCTCAACACTTCCAATGAGATATAGGACTGCTTAAAGAATGGATTTGCTAGCCACAGTCTAGCTAGGAAGATGCAGCTCAAGCTGGAACTTCAGACATCAAAGAAAGGTGCCTTAAAGATCAGGGATTATTTCAACAAAATCAAAGGAGTTATAGATCTTTTGGCAGCTGCAGGCCAAAAAATTGAAGAGAGTGATCAAGTTCTACACCTTCTTTCAGGGCTTGGGCAAGAATACAACCCTGTGGTGGTTAATCTGACCTCTAGGCATGAAAAATGCAGCATGATGGAGGCTTATTCTGTGCTGCTGAGTGTTGAAAATATTTTAACCGGAGTAGAATCCAAAGATTCGACACCGGGTCGTATCA